GGGTTGCGATCCGTTGCCGGACACGAAAAAAGACAAAAAAAAAAAAAAAAAATTCAAACATAACCATAAACCATAACCTTGTTAAAACAACAGTTATGATCCTTGATTTTCATTCCCAGCTCTTCCCATAGAAAGACATTATGAACATGAATGATTTCCAAATACATGAACTTCAGAAAAATGTTTTTTTTAAAAACTCAGATATTAAGTGGGAAAAGTTTTAACATAAAAGCATCTTCCTGAATTCTTTCTAACTAAAAGTTCTACCAATAGCGTAAATAGACTTTCAAATGGCTCATGAAAGAATTTCAGATCATTGACCTGTATCAATTACCGTGCTTAATAAACAGTACACACCAAATAATATCTGATTAATGCCGAATGTTTTCAGTTTTTTAAGCCGATAGTTTTGAGTCAGCAAGAGAAATAACAAGAACATCTTAAAATCTGGTTGGAAACTTTAATGCAGTTCTTTAATTTAGTTAGTAGGCTAAGTGCATTGGAAAGTGCAAAATCTGATTAATGATTATTATTCAGTCTAATAAAAAAAAACTGAGGCCTACACAGCTGATCTTGCCATGACTGGCTACTTACTGCCAAGAGAATCCAGTTACAGATCTTACCAGAGACAACCATGGGTTGATTCATAGTCATTTGACTCCTTCACAGCCCCTGGCAGAGCACCCTGCACACAGTAGGTGGTCAATAAATGTTTACTGTCTAGCCAATGGTATATGTTTCTATGTTGCTACTGTACATTTATTTCTTTCATGTGTAGCCACAACAGATTTGCATTATCAAAACCACACAGAAAGTAGTTTTCACGGATTCATGCAACATTTATTGAGTCTGTACATGTGAAGCACTGTCCCAGGCCCTGTGAACTCAAAAGATGAGTATGACACACAGCCTGCAGGACTCAACCCCCATAAAATTTTTTTAAAAAATACAATATAATGCCATAAACACACGAAAAGAGGTATGTATTCTAGGGAAACTCAAAAGAATGTGCTGACCATAGAGGAAGGCAACAGTCAAGGTTATTACCACGTTTGCACAGTGTGTAACAGTTGAACATTCACTCTCATATCCTCGTGGATGTTGCTATACTTAGCAAACCTAAAAATACCGATCATGAAATCGAACGACTAAAGGATTGTCAGGCTGTGTTGAGGATGGAAACTTTAAATTCAAAAGTCAAGGAATTCGCTGCAACTTAAAAAGTAACTGCTTTCTGCGTCTGCCTACTCCCAGGTTGATGTTTGGAAGCAGGGAAACTGAGAGAGCTGTTTTGAATAGTTCACGTCCAAGAATGTCAGTCAATGTAAAAACAGTTGCAAAGCGTGACTACATTTTTATTGAGTATTCCCTCTTTTCCCCAGGTGAATCCGCAGGCCGGTCACCTCCATCTGGCTGATCCGTAATTGAGTGTTTACCCGTTTGCATCTCCCGCCAGACTGTGAGCTCCAAGAGGCAAGCTGCGGACTCCCGGTCTCGCTCCCCTCCCACACCCGGGCACCCCAGGCCTGGACCCAGCGTGCGCTCCACAAATGAATGAAAGTGTCCTTATCCACTTCTATTTAATCACGGGATCCAGGCTTAGGGTAGCTCTTTTGCCCTTCGCTGCAGATCTGAAAAGAAGCTGGCTGCCCGACCCCAACTCCCGGGCGCCTTTCGCCCCAGACCCGGACTCCAGCCCCGCTTTAATCAGGACATTCGGAAACACTCCCTCTTCCAAAGCCTGCAAGGTACCCCTTTTACCTACAAAAGGCTCTCGGGCCGCGAGGTCGTTGTCAGAGTAAAGCCAGGTTAACACCGCGGCCACCACGGCAGTGGCGCAGCCCGCGCCTCCGGAACAGGAAACCGAGGGACTTTAAAAGCCAACCTTAGAAAGCTGCGCCAAGGTAGGGAAAACTCCTGGACTCGCCGCAGCGCGTGTGCGCAGCGATTGGCGCGTTAGCGAGAGCGATGGACATGTTGGCCAATAGGCCACGTCAGGCTCTCCGGAGCCCGCCTCCCACCCTCTACGTCCTCCAATCCGGAATCGCAACCGGGTGAGCGCGCGTTTCCGCCCGGAAAGGGTGGCGCGGCTGAGGCGCCGCCATTCCCGGGTCTTCGACTGTTTCTTCGGGCTGGCTGCAACGCTGACTGGCGCGAAACCATGACCGACTCCACGGGACAGCGCGCTCGCCTCCGGCGCTACCCCGCGCTCCCGGTGTGGGTGGTGGAGGATCATCAGGAGGTGAGCCGGCGATTGCTGGGCGCTCGGGCGGATGGGGCAGCCTTAGCGTTGGAGGCCAAAGAGATAACCAGAATTCATCTGCTCTTCCGTTGCTGTGGGGAAAACACCAAAGCGACCAACGTAAAACAATAGGAGCTGACTTTTGTGGGTTGCTTACTATACGTCGGGCAACTCATTTAACCCGGTTTGCCCAAAATCCCGCAACCGACAATTGGTGGCGTCGGGATTAGAACCCGCGGTGTTACTGCAGAGCCCGGTGTCCCTAACCCGCAGTTAACGCTGGCTTCCCACTGTCCCCTGACATCTCCGTCACACCCGTGCTGCTTAGGTGGGAGGCTTTATACTAAGAAAGTGGGCTGTCGTCTGTGAAATGGGGACAAGAGTCGTAAAAGTTATGAGGCTATTAGTATTACGTGCGTGTTGTGTACATAAATCTTTTGGCACTGTGCCCCGCATTTATAAACGCCAAAAGATGTTTCCATTTTTATGGCTGTGCTACTTTACAATAGCTAAATTGGTGCTTTAATCTGAACTTACAGAAAGTTAGCAAAGGAGGCGCATGCGTCTAAGAAATGTTTTTAAAGCATTAATAGGCCTTTTAAATCTCCGGATAAAAGAGGAAGAGGGATTTACTGATGGAGAAAGTTAAGAGGCGAGGAAGAAGGTTGAATTTCTCAGGACCTAGTCATAGTGTCTGTGGGCCTCAGAGGAGGAAGCATGGGTTAGGCGGTGCTTTCAAATGCAATATTAAACCTAGAACAGCCTAAAGGTACCGAGATGACCCGGAGACCTAGGGTACCTTGAACACACAGTTAATGCTAGGGCGGCCTTCACGAGCAGTTTGAGCCAGGGCCTCAGTGCTGCTGTATTTCCCCACATGACCTGTTGAGTTTGAAATGGAGGCAGAAAGGCAGCTGGAGGTGCAGTTGGAAGTTCTGAGGGAAAAATAGAGCTTGACCTCATTCATTATCTGAAATATGTACAATAAACACATTTTATATTTTCCCACTTTTTAACAATCTGATGTGCTTAAGTTATGTGCAGTTATGTCCAGCATTGTTTTCTAGTTTGCAGTTGAGTGTGTGCTCATTTCAGTGCCAGTTCTGAATGTGTACGTGTGTCTTTTACAGGTTCTTCCTTTTATATACCGGGCCATAGGCGCAAAGCATCTTCCTGCCAGTAATATAAGTTTTTTACATTTTGACTCACATCCAGACCTCCTTATTCCTGTGAATATGCCAGCAGACACCGTGTTTGATAAGGAAACACTCTTTGGGTAATATGTGACTTTGTTAATGATATTTTATGTGTTTGAAATACAATCTGCATTAGATAATAAGAGGTTATGGGAAATAGACTTTGCTAGGCTCGTGGGTTTTGTTTTTGTTTTATTTGACTTTTTGATTTTATTTAGAACAGGTGTTGACAAACTTTACCTTAAGTAGCCAGCTAGTAAATATTTTAGATTCGCTGAACATATGGTCTCTGCTACTTGTCTCTGCTCTTGTGGTGTGAAAGCAGTTATAGGCACTTTGTAAACAAATGGCAGTAGCTGTGTTCCAGTAAAACTGTATTTACAAAAACAGCCCAGCCAATGTTTGCCAACTTCTGATTTAGCATGTAGAACGTTAGATGTAGAAGAGACTTTTAGAAGTTTTCTGAGCCAGTTCTCACTTCCCTTTAAAAGTCTGGATACTAAGGCTCAGGAAAATGTGTCTTACCTAAACATAGTTCAGTAATTGTACAGGCAACAAGTGTGTAATTTATGTATCTTTCTTTCTGGTATTAAGTCCTTCCTACCTCTCAATTTGTTTATTTTCAAGTCACAAATCCTGTTGACTTTTAGTTTTGTAGCATCATAGAGATCTAAGGGAAATTGGTAATTTGTAGTCCATCCTTCAGAAAGGATTATACCTAATTTATCTCTAAATAATGACGTACTAGCCTATCTTCTGTGATAAAGTTCCCTGAAATTCTGTCACTGTCTCTTGTATATAATTGTTAGAATATAGCCTGACTTGTATAATGTAAAAAGTGACATAGCAGTAATGTTCCTCAGTTACAAAATTAAAAGATACATACTCACATGGATTAATTATAGCCTACTACATTTCTTTTAGGTGACTTTTTCCTAAACCCCAACTCGGAACACTAATTCCTGAAGAAATGTGGTGTCTCTGCCATTGTCGTTAATCTCTTTTATATTTAGAGGTTTTATATTTTAGAAATTGAAAGAGAATTATGAAGCAGGTATGCAGACTATATCTCGGGATTCCTTTACACCATTAAAAATTACTGAGGTTTTTTTTTTTTTTTTATGTGGGTTATATCTATTGATGTTTACTGTATTTGAAATTAAGACTGAGAAATTTTTTAAGTATTCATTTCAAAATAGCAATAACAAACCATTATGTGTTAGCATAAATAAGATATTTTATGAAAAATAAGTATATTTTCCAAAACAAAAAAAATTTTGTGCAAAGAGTGTCATTGTTTAAGTTTTTGCATATTTTTTTAATATTTGCCTTTATAAAAGATAGCTGGATTCTTATACCTGTTTCTGCATTCAGTCTGTTGCCATATGTTGTTTTGGTTGAAGTATATGATGAAAATCCAGGCTGTTGCAGACATGTAATGGGAAAAGGAAAGAGCATTTTCTTATCCTTTTCAGATAATTGTGAATATTCTTTGATACTACACCAAAACTTGACAAGTGGTAGTTTCTTAAAGCTTAATTGGAATGTAGAATCCAACAATTCAGTCTCAAGTCTGAATAACCAGTTTGTTGATCACTCCTTTCAAGAAAATGGTATTTAGCTCGCAGTTCAATCACAAGTGCTTTTCCTTGAGACAGCCATTATACTTCACTGTTTGTAGCAGAACTTTCTGTGCACTTCTCATTTTGCCACACAGAATATTTAAAAATGTATACTCGGCATCAAGATTTAAGAAAATGAAGGACATCCTTAAATGAAAATGACTCTTTTTTTTCTACTGCTTGGTAGTGACGAATACAATGACTACTAATAGAGTTTGGTGCGACTACCTTGCTTAATCTTAGGACATCAACCAACCATTGCTTTTGTACCATCAATGTAAATGTCAACAAATGAAAAAGGAAAATGATACCATAATATTTTTATGAAAGTAATTTTGACATAGTGGCCACCCTGAATAGGTCTCAGGAACCACCCAAGGGGCCACACTTTGAGACCTGCTATCTTAAAATATTATTGTGGACAGAATTACATTTGGGGAAAAAAACACTCATGGATTTTTGTGCTTCCTCTTTATTTCTTTTCCAGAGAATTAAGTATTGAAAATTGGATTATGCCTGCAGTTTATGCTGGCCATTTTTCTCATGTGATATGGCTTCATCCCACATGGGCTCAGCAAATCAGAGAGGGCAAACACCACTTTTTAGTAGGCAAAGATACTTCTACCACAACTATCAGGTAATTTCCTCATATTTATGAATATGAAAGGGGTTAAATGCTTCTATCTTATTTGGGATTTCTGTAATATCTTTCTAAGTATCTCTACACAAAGATAGGGTCAGATTAAGCCTCAACTCCTCCAAAAAGAGTTCTTGAAACACTAGGAACAGGTTTTCAAGTCTTTTGACATCCTTCAAACACCACAGTTTGTTGCTGATCAAACTGGTTTTTGAATAATATGTTCTCCATCCTTTGGGATTTGGGCCCCATTAATAAATAATTCCATTAAATCATTGAAGTACCTTACCAATTTATATATTCATAGTGCATTTTACTTTTTTTTTCCCCAATGTAACTGTTGTCTGCTGAGTTTAAGAATTAGCAGTGAAAGAACAAAATTATCTCGCTTTGGTTTTTTTTTAATAAATCCAATGGCTGAATAAGTCAATTTTGGGTTTTAATTTTATTGATATAATTAGTTTTAGACTATTACTTCATCTAAATTAAATTGCAGCATCCTTTGGCTTGAGTTACATATCGAACTATTTTTGTCGTATTTAACCAGTGCTTTGTGTATCTTGCGAAACTATGTAATACCCTTAGAATATCAGTGTGTTCTTGACTTTAAATTTTTTTTGTGATGGTATGAATATTTTAAACAGTATAATCATAACTTTCTAGCGCCTGAAGGATAATGGAATGAAATGGTACACATTGAAAATGAAACACAATCTTTCTCATCGAAAATAATACTTTTTATTTATGATTTATCCTTAATAATATAATTAACTTTTTTTTCTAATTTTTTTTTCATTGTAATGTTTATGGGGTAGTTTGTTGTTTCAGTACATGCACATATTGTATAATCAGAATAGTTAGCCTATCTATCACCTAAACGTTTATCATTTCTTTGTGATTATAACATTCAAGATCCTCTTTTCTGGCCATCTCAAAATTTACAGTACAATGTTAGCTATTATCTCCTTAGGGCACTAGAAGTTACTGGTACAGTTAACTCGTAGTTTGTGTTCATACCATTTGCACAAATAACTTTGTTGTAATACATGAAAATTTTATTTATGATGTAAAATTTACAGTACAATGTTAGCTATTATCTCCTTAGGGCACTAGAAGTTACTGGTACAGTTAACTCGTAGTATGTGTTCATACCATTTGCACAAATAACTTTGTTGTAATACATGAAAATTTTATTTATGATGTAATTCATAAGAAATGATTAGGACTCAACATATTGTACATAATTCAGGTGTATGTGAAAGAGTGGTAGGTTTTTATTGAGTACTTCAATTAGTAGGCCTAATTTAACATGCAAGATAAATAATTTTGAGCAGTCTGACACGGACATTTGAAACTCCATGTGTGACAACAGTATTTGAAAGATTCTGATTATTTCATGATTTTAGTTTATCCTTAATCTTACAAGTAAGAATTTATGGAAGAGAGACACACACATATTGGTATGCAGTCTGAGATATACTTGTGTGATTGTATATGAACAAAGTAAAACTTATAATATTAAAAATATATAAATTTAGTTTGGAGGTTACAGATTTTGTCTTTCTTAGAATGGTACAGTTTTTAATAAGCTTAGACATTAGTCTTATTATGTCATTAATCTTTTTTTGGAAAATATCTTTAAATTTACAGCTGCATATGCTGGGGGAGGACAGATGGGAAATTAATATTAAACATTATTTTGGTTGGATGCATCATGCCTCTGGAAAAAGTGTTTGGCTTCGCTGTTCAAAGTACTTACCAAAGCATAATATAGTTGAAAAACTAAGAAATGCTGACATGTCCAAAATCAGAAATCCACGACTTGAGAAATGCATTCTACAAGTGTAAAGATTTTTTAAGTCACTTTTCATGTTAAAAATATTATAGTTATATAGAGGTTAATGAAACTTTGAAATATATCAGAGGGAGCTTCTATTAAGAGAAATTATTTCCAGATGTAATTTTTCTCTTTAGTGATTTTTTTTTTGGATAAAGATTCAGCTGGTATGAGAGGAACCAAAGTAGCATTGGCTTAAACAGGATCATTTCTTTCTTTCTTGTATTAGACTTCACTGCACATAGGCCAGGCCTACGTGCCAGGTCTCCAGTTTGGGGAACCCTAGTTCCTTCTGTCTTTTTGCTACACCATCTCTAGAGTATTGCCCTTTTCCTTATACTTAAAGGTGGCTTGCTACTTCCATGTTTACATGCCAGTCAGCAGGGAGGGGGAGAGCAAGGCTTTGTACGCTTTTCTTCTGTTCACAACCATTGGCCAGAACTTACTCACATGATCAGACCTAGCTGCAAAGTAGACTATGTAATTTAGTTGGATGCTCAGCTAAGAATTTGGGGAGAACTATTTCTACAGAAAAACAGGAAGTACAAATATTAGAGACAGCTCTCAGCTTTTGTCAAATATGTCCTTTCTTATGTTTCTGCACTGCGATAGTGAAATGTCAGTTAACTTGTCCATTCTTCTTTAAAAATAGTGTTTTCCTCTGATCCAGGGTTACAAGTACAGATTATTACTTCCTAAGTGATGGTCTTTATGTACCCGAAGACCAGCTAGAGAACCAAAAACCTTTACAATTGGATGTAATTATGGTAAAACCTTATAAACTCTGTAACAATCAAGAAAATGATGCAGTGTCTTCTGCTAAGAAGCCAAAGCTAGCACTGGAAGATTCGGAAAACACTGCCTCTACTAACTGTGACTCTTATTCAGAAGGACTGAAAAAGGACACAGTGACACAGAGAAGTGGCCAAACTTGCCTAGAACCATCATGTTCACGTTCTTCTGAAAGTCAGGGGTGCCAGACCACAGTCAACACTGGGGAAATTCTGGAAATTTTGAAGAAAGGAGATGCATTTGTATTAGATATTGATTTGGATTTTTTTTCAGTCAAGAATCCCTTTAAAGAAATGTTCACGCAGGTAAATATGATATTTTTAAAACATAGATCTTAAAAATTGTGCATTTCTCGAGATCAGGAATTAGCAAACTTACTACAAACAGCAAGATTATTGTTATTTAACCTTTGGGAGCCACATTCTCTGTTACATATTCTTTGTTGTTGTTTTTTTAAACCTTTAAAATTGTATATGCCATTCTTAACTTGAGGGCCCCATAAAAACAGGCCGTAGGACATGGGTTACCAAACCTTGCTATAAATAGTATTCATTATTTTGCATTTATTAATTGGGGTAATATGTACATGGGTGGTTGAAACAAATAAAATCAGGTAGTACAAGAAAGTGTATACATTGGAAAATATCACTCTCTTATCCCATCTTCATTCCCTCAGTTTCTTGCTTCAGAAACAAATACTGTGGCCGGTTTCTTGTGTATCTTTTCAGAGGTATTCTTTGTATATAAAACCCTATGTGGGGCCGGCCCGGTGGCGCACTGGATAGTGCGCCGCTTGGGAAGCGCGGCGGCGCTCCCGCCCGAGGGTTCGGATCCCACATACAGACCAGTTCCCGCTCACTGGCTGAGCGAGGCGCGGGAGCAACACCGAGGGTTGCAATCCCGTTGCCGGTCCCGGTCCGGTACCGGGGGGACACTGAGGGTTGCGATCCATTGCCGGACACGGAAAAAGACAAAAAAAGACAAAAAAAG